GAGAGGGTCCAGAGGAGGGCCACTCGTATGATCAAGGGACAGCAGGGTAGGTCCTATGAGGAAAGGTTGCGGGACCTGAACCTGTTCAGCCTTCAAAAGAGAAGGCTGAGGGGGGATCTTGTGGCCTGTTATAAACTGGTTAGGGGGGGGATCAGCAGGCGCTGGGGGAGTCCCTGTTCCCCCAAGCACCGCAAGGAGTGACCAGGAACAACGGTCACAAGCTGGCAGAGGGAAGGTTTAAGTTGGACATCAGGAGGCGCTACTTCATGGTCAGGGCGGCTAGGGTCTGGAACCAGCTTCCATGTGAGTTGGTGCAGGCTCCCACCCTGGGGGTTTTTAAGAGGAGGTTGGATGACCACCTTACTGGGGTCGTTTGAACCCAGTACTCTTTCCTGCCATGGAAGGGGGTCGGACTAGATGATCTGCTCAGGTCCCTTCCGACCCTAGAAACTATGAAACTATAATAACCACAGTAAAAATGGGATTTATCATTTTAAAAGTGCATATTATACTTTAGAGAACATGCTAAATTGTTTTAGGTCAACTAACATTCCTATATTTTTATACCAAAAGTAAATTTGCTATTGCAAGGAACTTCAAAACTGAAGTTTTCAGATTGAGTATATCACAGCTTGAAAAAACTGATTTTTTAACCATAGAGGTTTGCACGATGGAATTTATTTGTGACGTCAATAAGAAATGTTCCATTGACTACCCTGTATGTTTTTCTTAATAAACCAGCATTTATAGTACTTTTCATCTTCAAAGGTATTTAAGGACATTATCTTATAAAAATCAATGCTGTGAAATAACAAAAAGCAAAATAAGAACATCAGCTTTTCTGAAATACCTTGCATTAATGACTTTCAAAATAGATTAAGATTATTTGGGCTATAAAGACAAGAATACACTAAAGAAAACATTATAGTTACTAACGTCAAATGCTACATCTTGTCTTTATTAATTATCAGCAAGATGACAAATGCTTTAAAATAGTTACAGGAAAATATTTTTTAAACATATTTTTATGGAATGATTTATCATCTATTTGTATATCTGTATTAGCCAATGCTACTGCAGCACTGCTTTTAGCGATTTACCTGAAGTTGTAGGTGATGGAATATGGGTGACATAAGGATGGTGCTGAAATTTAGGAGGATTGTCATTTACATCAGCAACACTGACAAGTACGCTGGTGGAACTGGAAAGAGCCCTGGGAAAACCACCATCGCTGGCCACAACTACCAACGTGTAATTCTCCTTTGTCTCTCTATCTAATAGTGCACTAGTGATAATTTGTCCTGTTGATGGGTTGATTGTGAACTGTGAATTGCCACCGATTAGCTTGTAACTGTTCAAAAGACAAAAAAGGGAGAAAACATTTTCCATTAGTATTCTCATAAGACAGACATCTTGTTACTTGAAGATAATTAAAATTAGTTAAGATGTTTAGAATAGCACGTCAGGCCTGGCTAACAGTGCCTCATTTCCACAAGTTTTGTTCCCAAAAGTAGTAACTCACTCACGTTGTACAATTGTGCTGGACAGTACAAGGGGCATTATCTCTAAGAAAGATGCAGAAAACTTCATCTCTTTCATGGGTCAAAAGATGGTCTATTATTCAGATTTCACTGTGTTAACAAAATAAATGGCCAGATCCTGTTCCACCTATTAGGCACCTAAGTGAACTTATGCATGTAGGTGTCATCCTATTCCATCCTGTTCAAGACCCTGAAAAACAATTAATGCAAAAGGCTGATGGGTCCTCTTCCAGCTTGCTGCTTTTGTGACAGTCTTAAGGCTTAAGGTAATAGTGTGACATGAGCTATGGACAGGCATTCATTTCTAGTGCTGCAAATTTCGGGCAAATTACTGGGTCATCCTAGTCTGGTGGCAGGGGAACATTTTACCCACACCACTGTTCCCAGTCTCCAGGAGGAGTGGAGCAGTGGGAATGTACAGCCATTTGTTCTTGTGTGAACTGTGCAGGTGAGATCTTCCTGGTTGAAAGGAAGGCATTTCTCCTGCTAGAACGTAATCACAGAATCATAGAAAGTTAGGGTTGGAAGAGACCTCAGGAGGTCATCTAGTCCAGTGGTTCTCAATCTCTTTTGTACTAGGACCCACTTGTAAACATCAGTGGTAAGTCCCGACCCAGTGCCCCTCACTCCCAACCCACTGCCACCAGGCTCCAGCCCCACAGTGTATGTATGGGGAGGGGGAATATGGGGCAGGGTGTGTGTGGCAGGGGCATGAGGGGCCCCAGGAAGCCCCCCACAATTCTGCTGAAATTCTGCAAGCCTGCAAGAGACAAGTCAGAGTTTCCCATGTTTTTCTCCTTTAAAGGAGAACCCATTTTTAAAGTTTGTTTGCAACCCTTTCGTACATTTTTGTGACCCACCTTTGGGTTGTGACCCATGGGTTGAGAAACGCTGATTTAGTCCAACCTCCCTCTCAAAGCAGGACTTTCCCCAAGTAGATCATCCCAGCCAAGGCTTTGTTTAGCTGGATCTTAAAAACCTCCAAGGATGGAGATTCCACCACCTCTCTGGGTGACCTGTTCCAGTGCTTTACTACCCTCCTGGTGAGAAAGGTTTTCACAATATCTAACCTAAACTTCCTTACTGCAAGTTGAGACAGTTTTTTGCTCTGTCATCTCCCACCACTAAGAACAGTCTAACTCCATCCTCTCTGGAGCCCTCTATAAAGGCTCTCTGGAGCTCTATTTAAAAGCTGCTATTAAATCCCCCCTCAGTCTTCTTTTCCTCAGACTTAGTAAGTCCAGTTCCTCAGCCTGTCCATAATACTTGTCCATATCCTAAAAGGATACACATCAATCTTTTTTTCATGGATTGGAATAGGACAGGATTACACTTAGGTATCTAGTAAATGGAATAGAATCTGGCCCTAACTAATCTGATAAAACTGAAATCCAGCACAGTAAATATGCAAATTGTAAATAGAGTATTTGCAAATATGAGTAAGGATTTCTAAAATAAAATCAATACTCCTTTCACAGTAATATGAGTTTTTAATCTGCTTTTACCTTTAATGATACCAATTTTAATCCAGAATAATTCAGCTAGAATTGTGAGAAATTGATCTGATATTAATAAAAAGTAACTGGGAGTAAAATTCTTCCTTTAGCCTTTTGTATATGATAAACCATGATTTGACTGTCCATTTTGCTACAGCTCACCATACAGGCTGGGTTCCCAGTTAATACTATTCATTTGTGTTAGACTGCTTACACAGCTATCTCAGATTTTTGTTTTCAAAAGAAATATTGATTCATTATGAAAAAAAATGCTTTTTTTTTCAGTTGGCAAGGTGATACCCACTATCCAAGTGATTAGATATGGGATATTTTTCCAAAATGAAAAAAAAAAAGTTCAAATGCATCACTGCACTGATCATTATTGTAACCCCATTAAAAATACAAGAAAGATAATTGTAATGAGCACTGTATCTCCAGAAATGACTGAGAAACCAGTAGCAGTAGTACTGTTTAAGCTAAAAAACTGTATAGGTATTTGGAAGCAGTATGGTGCTATGAAAAATAGAGAGAAGCATTAGTTTTGCTACTGATTTTAAATCAAAATGGGTTATGACAGAAATAATGACACAGGCCAGGGGCATTTCCTACAAAATTGATAGCCAGCTATAGATAATAGCAACAAACTTTCTCAGTCACTCATTAACCACCACAGAATGCTCTGGGCATATTCATAACTGTTAATTATTATTTAACATGATAGCCATATGCAATTATTTACTGACTCGAGATGTTCAGCTAGGGCTTAAATTTATCCTTATGCAGAGAGCTCATACAAGGGCTTAGCTGAAGACAGTTTTACTAAATTACAAGATACATATGCATACAGAGAGGTGATTTTTTACCCTTAATCTTATTGCCTCTTAATTCCTACTAGCACATTAAGAAAGAACATAATGTTATCAACAGCATCCCGCTCCGCACTTTATTTCTACCAAATATACATACAGAACAATAATACACATTTTTGCACTAAAAAGAGCAAAAATGGATTTTTACAGACAGTAACAATAACGTATATTTGAAAATATAGTGGGCCATCATTTACACTGAACTGGATCTGCAAAACTCCATCAAAATTAACAGAATAGCACAAGTATGTTTCAGGGCAAACACATTTACAAAAAATAAAGGCAATTAATTATTTGCAACAAGACAGACTGTTCTGCCACCTGGCTCTGCCAATAAACTCTTATTTGTCTAATTACCACACTTCTGAAAAAGTGGCAGAATCATATTTGTTTAACTTATATTTCTTTTTATTGTAGCTGCACATAAAGGCCAAAAAACAGGTGGGGTCTCATTGTGCCAAGTTTTCTACAAGCATAAAATAAGTTATAGTCCCTGAAATGATCAGTCTGCAATCAAAACAAATATGAACTGTATTGTGTTCTATAATTTACCAAACTCAGAATCTGCAAAGCCTCAAGAAGGTATGAATGCCAGAGGCCAGGACCCTTATTAAAATGAGCACCTCACAGGGTTTTATATCTACAACAGTGAAGCAAAGTGAAAAAGGGGGGGGGGGCAGGTGTAAAAGTCAGGTGTAGGTGTAAATTCACATTGGTTCTCTAGGTTACCAACATTTAGGTGTTGGAATGCTTATTAGACATTGTGCTCCCGAATGGCAATTCATTGCGAGTTAGAGTGAGATTATACATTAGAGTCAGCAGGTGCTAATTCTCAGAAATGTTAGTCTGTGTTAAGGTTAACTAATCCTAGTGATCAATTACACATTCAGGGTTATTACCATCTCTAATGTGCACTGCTCAGACCTGCCACTTATCAAAAGTCAGGCTAGCAACTTCAAGTCTGCTCCATGCTTGTCCTACTTTCTGGCTCTCTAATGCAAGCCAGGGAGGAGATGGGGGGGGTCAAGGCCCTTCCATGCCACTTAAATTGTTCCCCCCACTCCCCAAATTGCCCCACTGCTCTCCATCAACCCCCAAATACCCCTTCCACCACATAATTGATCCCTCCAACCCTGGATCACCCCCCCACACACACACATTGACTCCTCAATTGGCCCCAGCTGCTGTTCTGCCACCCCAGTTAGCCCAAGAGTAGCAGTGGCAGCAGCAGTTGGAGTTGGAGCAGTTCCCCTTCCCAGCCTGAACCTGGGCTCCCTGCAACCTGTTTTGCCCCCCTGCACCTGGATACAACCACTACTGCCACCCTCTTCCTTCTACCTCAGTTACTGGACCTGGCAGGTCATTGATCTGGATGCACAGAGGCAACATGGTCTGTAGGGACTCCAGGAGAAGGGAGAGGGAACTCCTCCACCAGCATCTCCACCACCCTTGGGCTGATCCAGGTGGCAAGACAGTGATCCCTAGGTGGATGGGGTAAGAAGGAGCGGAGAAGGCAATTGGGGTGGCAGGGAAGTGATGTAGGACTGAAGAGGGCAATCAGGTCAGAGGAGGCAAAAGTCTAGCAACTCCCCCCCACCAACCCTCCGCCCCAAGCTATCCTTCTCCTTTCACCCCTTTTCCCCCATCTCCTCAGTCGCTTTTGCCCAGCTATTTCCAGCTGTTAGTCCAGTGCAACAGAGTCCTAGATGACAGCTAGTTCACCTGGGAGTAGTGCCTCCTGGGATACTGGAGGACTGCAAATTGGCGGTTTTGTGTCAGGCGAATACCCAGAATTTAACTCAAGCTAGGTAGCACAGCTCAAAAGATGATGCTCACCTGAAGTGGTATAACTTTAACAAGTCTAAAGGGTACTTAAAACTTGTTAATGAGTCTTAATGATCATTCAGGGCACTTACAGAAGTGCCTTCCAGGTGCTTCTGATCACACTGTAACTTTTGTGCTTTACACAAAGAGCTTAAAATTACAGCATGATCAACCTTAACAGATGTTTGGCTTTTGCTGGTGGGGACTCGGGATCTCCATGCACCCTGGGGTGAGGCTTGACTGGTGCTTGCCCATGCAAGCACCAGCGCAGCTCTGCAAAGGTGCATGGGATGTGGGCAGAATTGCCCAAAATTAACTCTTACAGAGAACTTGAACACAAGTTCCCGAAGTCACTCTGCCCTAGTGCACATTCAGGGAATAGCTGATTTAACAAGGGTTAATTTTTCACAGGACTGGCCATTCTAAAAGTGCTCTGCAGCTGTGAACATTTGTTTTGTTACAGCTGTAGAGCACTTTCAGGGACCTCATTGCACAAAAAACATAACTTCTGTAAGCGCCCTCAACTTTTCAATGCTCTTAACATGATCTAATTATAATGCATAATCTCACCCTTACATGCCTATAAAGACAATTGAGAGGACACTAAGAGCAATTCAGATTCTGTGCACAGAATGGGGAGCAGGAGGCATCTCTGAAGTGCTGTTCAGGAAGCTTGAAACCAAGAGGTATCAATACCAAGAGAGGTTCTTTGCTGTTTGGCTCAGTTTTAACAGATAGGACTGAGAGCACCCTCACATAGTCCATCCTATAGTCCCGCACTGTCAAACATATGGCCCACAAGCTGGATGTGGCTCATTTCTTCCAACTCATGGGTCTCCTGTCAGGACTGGGAATTTGGGGCCTGCTACAGAATTCAGTGCTAAACAGGCCTGTTGGGGTGGGCATTTGGTGGGGGGTGAATAAGACAGTGACATGTACCACTACCACTTGCCCTCTGCCACCATTTGCCCTGCTGCCATTCAGCCTGTCACCATCACTACCACTCACACTGATGCTCCTGCAGCCAGATGCAGCTTGCAAGGAGCCCTGTGGTCCAGATCCATCCTGGGAGGTGGGCTGAATTTGACCTCCGGCACAGCCTATTAATTCGGGCATTTTTCTGGGAAGTTGTAAGGGTAGGATTGAATACCTTTAGGGTGAGGAGGGCCTATAATTTATGGCTCTTTCTTCCCATGTGTGTGCTAAAACAATTAGGCCACTGGGCAAAGGAGACTCCACCACTACTATTTTTAACTGAATTCAATCCTGTCAATGCCAGCTAGCTATAGTCTGTCTACTGGAAGTCTTTGGGGACTTAGGTTGAAGTCAGGTGCATAACAGCAACACTTTGAATCATTATGGAACTTAGAAGGGAGAGTTAAGTGCAACATCTGAATCACTTTTAATCAAGAACAGAAGGTTCATTGTAGATGCTTAAGGAACTCTGCAGTTCTAAATAGAAACAACAACTGAGCATTGTGGCTCATGGAAGGGCAAATTTGAATCACTCTGAAACTGAGGTAGCTAAACTCTGCCTAAGCCATGGTTTGAACCAGGTGGCTAAATTCTATCTAAATTCCTTTTTGGTGCGAAGAGATCCAGTTGAAATCTGACCCTTTGTGCCTATGTAGGGTCAACTGGAGCACTGTTTCATATATTTATTTGAAAGAATATAGGTATTACTTCCATAAAGTACATTTCACGGCAAAATGGATGTAGCCTGTCCCATTCTTGGACTAAAACACTTGAGAATCTACTGGGTGGATTATGATTCACTTCCATGCCTTTTGTACTACTCAGGATGGTCAAAAGGTTCAGATTCTGTCTGCATGATGTCATCAAAGAAACTCCACCGTTGGAAGGAAATTCTTTAACAGTGTAAATGTACCAAGGGAAGACAGGCATGGCAAGAAGGCAGTTCTACATTAAGATTTTAATGAAGCTTGTGACAATTTAAAGGTGTTAGGCTGGGGCGGGGTTGTTGCTGGCTTACTTATGTCCTAATCCACAAGAAGCCTCTACTTTTACTTTATTCTAAGTTTCTGCTGTCATAATTTACAAGGCATGGGGGTTTCAAACCTCATCTCTTTGAAAACTGGCTGTTGAGCTCTCATGTGCAATGACCTTTTCATTGCAAGCCAGGAAGAAACTTTTGACAATTTAACTATACCTCCAATTATGTAGCAATACAACAAAACAAAACAATATTGCTACATATACTTCTTCCCATGGCCTCCTTTTCAGGCAATCACGTCACAAAGTCCTGCAAAGTCCTGTTTTCTGTCCTAGAATTACTTTTGTGCCTAATATGCATTAAATTTGGGGGGGGAGGGGTTTCTAGACTATATGTGACTGTGGTAATTGTGTATGTGAATGAATTCTTTTTAGTGATTGGGTAGACACTGTTATAGCAAATTGGAGAGAGAAGAATATAGGTGAATGTGGGTAGGTATTATTCAGATATCTTTGCCAAGTTGTATCCATTTCTTGAAGAATTTGGTAAAGGTTTTGGTTTCATATAGAAATCATGACTCAGAATTTGACATATCAGTCTGAAATTTATGCTTTGATTTTCACAGGTGTTAAGCATCTCAAACAAAATTGAATAAGAGTCTTGAATGCACAACATCTTTGAAAATCAGCCAAATTATATATAGCCTTGGATATCTTCTCTTAGGTTTGTAATACCAGTCATACTTTAATTGTACACAAAATTAATATTTGTGTTATTCTGGATGCTGAATTTAGACAAATTATATCCAAGGAAAGCAAAGTCTTCCCTAAGACTAAAAAAAAAAAGAGAAAGAAAACCAAATCAAAACCTCAACACTGTAAAAATGTGTGTGTGTGTGTGGGGGCTACATTTGAAAGAAACATTTCTCTTTACTATTGTGCTTTGTACTAACAACAGAGAATGAAATTATAACAGCTGAAAATTAAGTTTTCCAAAGCACTTTTCTACTGCTTTAAAGAGTCCCAAAAAGCACTCTGATAATTTCTCCTCATGAGATACAAACACTACAATCATCTGTTCTTTGTAAAGATCCTTTCTATAGGCTAAAGAGGTTTTCCAAAACCTTTTTCTTGGAATAATGTTGCTTGGAATAATATTGCATATTATTAATATGGAATTAAAAGCTTTACTGATGCACAATTTAATAAATGTTAAGCTTAGATGTCTTTCAAGGCTTTACAGGTGTCAACTTAAATTTTTATTCCAGATCTCAAGAAAGTAAGAAAGGAAATACTACACTATTTTGTACAAGTTTACCTTTCCACTTCATATTTCTGGATTCATTTTTTCTATTTATGATCACAATTATTTTCTTTGCTCTTTGGAGGAAAATGGTAGATGGAAGAGCAAAAGTGGATGAAGTGAAGCCTCCTATGCATTTAAAGCAGGGGTGGGCAAAATGCGGCCCAGGGGCCACATGTGGCCTGCCAGGCCATTCTATCTGGTCTGCGGGGCCCCTAAAAATTTTATAAAATTAATATTTATCTGCCCCGGCTGCATGTCATGCAGCCCTCGGTGACTTGCCAAAACTCAGTAAGCAGCCCTCTGCCCAAAATAATTGCCTGCTCCTGATTTAAAGGAACTTATATTTTATCAGCCTCCTGTGCATTTAAAGGAACAGAGATATAAGTGTTTGTATTCACAAAAGTTTAGTGGGAAGGGATTACCTACTAGCCTTCATGAATAGCACAGACTGATTAATAAGTAATACCAGACTGCTTTGCATTCCATTAACAACAAATCAACTCTCAGTGGGTAATGTTTAGCTTGTCACTTCCACTTAACATCTTCATTACTCTTGTCTCTGAAACTGGTTATTGCCAGTGCCCAACAGTAGAAATTTTCTGCAGTTAAGAAATGTGTAAGCTGAGTTGTACAAGTCATTTGGCACATAAAACAACAATGCCAAACCCTGCCTTTACATCAGGTTTCTGAATGGGATAAAACAACTTACTTTTTGCCTTGTGCTGTTTTTGCATATTTGTCTGTCAACTAAAGGCAGTAGATGGCTGTGGATTTGTTCAATGAAACCAAAAGTGTGTTGGCAATACGCCAAAAGTGTTTGCCACATGAACAGAAATGAATGGGACTGCAAGATGGGCAATGGTATTTCTGCATCTACAACTCACTCATCTTTAGATGGCTTGCAGTATCTGCTGTAGTGAAGAGATGTACCTTGGATGGCATTTTAACTGCTAATTAATATAGAAACATATTAATATAGAAATGATTAAAATTAGTATTATGAATCTACCTTTCAAACATGGTATTATACAATTGGTCCTGTTAAGCAGGGGTGCTCAATTCCCCAGCCTGCAGGCTAGACCTCACCCACAGAGAGCCCATAAATTGGCTCACAGGTATCCCACAACTCCTTAAATTTGATGGTGCGTGGGAGTGGGGGAAGTGGTGGCAATTAACGCTGCTACTGACCCCCTGCAGCCAAATTTCAAAGCCTTCCATGGCTGGCTCAGCCCCATCCAGGCTGGGAGAGCTCAAAGAGATTGAGCTTCTTCCTGTGTAGCTGGATTGAGCAGGGGCCTGACACAGTTGTGTGGCAATGACTCAGCCACAGCTTGATGCAAATAGGCTATTCCTGCATGGCTGCATCAGCCCTGACTGGGCTGGCACAGCGTGCTGGATTAGGTCCACAGACCAAAAAGGTTGGGCACCACTGATATAAAGTGTAACTAGTTTTCAAACTAGGTTTAAAATATGGCATGAAATCAGAACTTACTTAAGAGTCCTACAATACTATAATAAGAATGGTGAAATGTAAATCCTACTCAAATCCAAGAAACACCAAATTTAAATGCATCAATCTTGTCAGCCTCTCAAATAAAATTTTTCTAATGATTTCCACCACAATGCACAGAAATACTTTACAAATTCTTAATTACAAGTTTACAAACTTTATATCTAATTACATCTCATTTAATCTGAAGCTCAGCGCTGAAATGATCCCATTAAGTGTACCATTCGTCTTTTTTTAAAGGCTATACAAATCTCTTAGGTGACAAATTTTTTGCCTGTTTCTTTCCACCAAGGACAGTCCCAGTCATTTTCATTTTTTGACCTATAAGATTGCATACAATACTCCAACCTATAGACTTCACACCACATAGTGGCTTTATCCATATTTTCTATGTGTATGTAGACAGCCAGATTTTAAAAATTAGCAAATGTAGGGCAGAATTAAATTTTATTTGCTTTTAACTTGGCAGAATTTTAAATAAAATTTACAATTCTGCGTATCCATGTTACCACCCTACATATTATTAAAAATGCCAGGTTTTCCCAAAATATGGTTAGTCCACATAAATCACCATTCTTTTGTGTTTCAAGTACTTACGGGGTGTTGGTGATAAACAGTAGCAAAGCCATTCATCCTAAAGCAATGCACCACACAGTATTAAATATAGCAATAGACAAGGCCATACCTGATAACTGCATTAACTGAAGCATCGGCATCTGAGGAATTTACTAGCAAAATGTCTGTCCCTGTGGGTGCATCTTCTGGAATGGTGGTGGAGTACATATTAAAGGCAAATGTGGGGACATTGTCATTGACATCATCCACCGTGACAGCAATAGTTCCAGTGCCAGTAAGGGCAGGAGAACCTGAGGGGGAAATAGGATGTAAAATGCTAGAGGTTACACATACAACTATACTTATACTGGATATGCCACTCTCAATTTACAAACTAACACTTGAACATGTCATGGTTCACAGAGCTGCAAAGCCTATTCAATCTATAGAATAGTGCCAGTTTTGTGTGTAAAGTAGGCCATCTTAGTACAAAGTACAAATCATACAAAAAAGTTCTTACCGTCATTTAATGCAAGAAATATTTTGTAGAACAAATTTGGTGGGGAAAGATGATCTAGAAAGAACACAGGATGCCTAGTCTGTAATAATCAGGACCAGTTTGTACATGTGGTTGATTTTTATTTTTCTTTTCAAGTGGAAAAAACTGACAGCCTTGGAGACATAAAATCTTATATTTATTTTTCCACTGAAAAATAAAGCAGAAGCAGCGGCAATGATACTTCCCTCACTGCATTCCTTCAGTCTGTCACAACCCTGACCTAGAGAGACCTCCTTTGTGGGTGACAGAACAGTCCAACTTTCAGATTCATTCAAACTTGGATTTTTTACTGAAATTACCATAAATGGTTTCATTTAGCACAAAGCAGGTAGAGGCACAAAGCAGGCACATTTTTAATGATGTGCATATCAGTTTACAGGAAATCAGACTGAACTCATTTTGAGTTTTTTTTTAGTTACTGTTTATCTCCATTGGATTTGAACAACTCTAAAACAGGTACAATTCTTACATTTTTTCCTTTGATCAGTTGCTCTTTGAACATCCTTCTCTGTCCAGTGCAACAAAGGGTCTGAAACCATGTTTCATAGTTTCATCGTTTCATAGTAGTTAGGGGTCAGAAAGGACCCAAATAGATCATCTAGTCTAACACCCCGCCACTGGTCAGAGCACATGCTGGGATCACATGACCCCAGACAGGTGTTCATCCAACCTCTTTTTGAATTTACCCAAGGTAGGAGCGAGGACCACTTCCCTAGGAAGTTGGTTCCAGATCCTAGCCACCATAATAGTTAAATAGTGCCTCCTAATCTCTAACTTGAACCTATTCTCCAGCAGCTTCTGGCCATTGTTCCTCATCAACCCAGGTGCTGCTGTGGGGAAAAGAACCCTACCTATTTGCTGCTGATCTCCCCTAACGAGTTTGCAGGCAGCCATAAAATCCCCCCATAGCCTCTGCTTGCTGAGGTTGAACAGGTTCAGGTCCCTCAGCCTCTCCCCATAGGGCTGCTCTGTTGCCCCCCAACCAAGCAGATGGCCCTCCTCTGAACCCTCTCAAGGCAGGCCACATCCTTCTTAAAGTGCAGTGCCCAGAACTGAACACAATACTCCAATTGTGGCCTGACCAATGTCGTGTAGAGGGGGATTATCACCTCTCTGGACCGGCTTGAGATGCATCTTTGGATGCGCGACAAGGTGCTGTTGGCTTTGCTGGCTGCGGTCTGGCATTGGCAGCTCATGTTCATCTTGGAGTCAGTAATGAGTCCAAGATCCCTTTCTGCCTCTGTGCTTACAAGAGGGGAGCTCCTCAGCTTGTATGTATGCTGTGGATTCCTTCTCCCCAGGTGCAGCACCCTGCATTTATCTACA